TATATATATATATATATATATATATATAAAATCTTGATTTTTCTCAACAGTCCTTGAGGGTAACAATCTCCCTCACAGGGGACTGTGAGTGTTAAATGGGGGAAATGTTTGTGTAATGCCCAGAGGGTTGCTGTCATTCAGATAATAGTATATGTTGCCATTGATTGCTATGCTATGATATTTTATCTTTTTTCCTTTAGGCAATAAAGTTTTTCTTTATAGAATATATGTAGATACAATTACCTGCTCTGGTATAATTATAATAGATCCTTCTTGGCCTTGAAAATATTAAGAAAACTAGGGTAATGCTCAAGGAACACAATAAAAGAATATTTATCTTGGTCTTCTCACCCCTTCTTTACCACCTCAATGTCCAGTTGAATTTAAATTTCACATAAACAACAAATAATTCAGTACAGACAGACCCGACTTACAATAGTTGTACTTACAATTTCTTGACTCTAGGATGATGTGACTGCTTTGAAAAAAAAATCAACAATGACCTCACCTTAAAATAATATAGTTCACATTTCATTTTTCAGTTTCAGTACAATAGTACATTTGGTAAATTACATGAAATATTCAATACTTTATTATAAAATAGGCTTTGTGTTTGATGATTTTGCCCAACTGTAGTCTAATATCAGTGTCCTGGGCACGTCTAAGGTAGGCTGGGCTAAATTACAATACGACGTTCAGTAGATTAGATGTATAAAATGCATTTTCGAGGGGACCAGCAGTTGGCGTAATGGTTATGTCGCAGGATTCCCATGTAGTTGAGCACAGTTCAAGTCCTGGACCCAGTGGCTTAAACTCACGCTGGGCGCGTGTGCGTGCGTGCCCAGGATCTCAAGAGGAAAATGGAAGAGAAGTGATTGCAGCATGGCCATCCTCCCTGGGGGATGATTTTTCGCTTTCTCTCTGTCTGTCTCTGTCTTTCTGGCGAGTGCACACGCACTATAGCCAAAACCTCTCCAAAAAAAAAAAAATGCGTTTTCGACTTAATGATATTTTCAACTTTTAGTGAGTTTATAAGGATGTAAACCTGTCTTAAGTTTAACTGGGCATTCTGTATTAGGAGGATGGTCAGGGATCAGCCAGAACGGGCTGTCCATGATTGGGATAAGGGGCTCGCTCATGTCGTCTTCCCTCTCAGGTAATAAAAGGTCTGCACAGCTGGCTTTGAGCCAGTCACTTCCTGGGTGGAGATCACTTCCAGGTAAGGACTCTAAGTGCTGATGGGCTGCCCCTCTGTGTGTGTTTAGCGGTCGCAGTGAGAGTGAAGCAAGGAAGACGGACTTGTATCAACCTTCACACATGCCTGGCCCTCTGGATCGGGGCGCAAGCACACATCAGCCTTTCCTTCCTCCAACTTGAAAGCACCATGAAGGATGTTCTTTTATTTCTTCAGAACATTGTCACAGATTTGGCAGAATGACGACCGCCTCTGTCATCTGACTTGTCTCAGAGAGTCAGAGCAAGTCTCAGGCGAGACTGCCCTGTTTTACAGTGTCCTTCCAGGGACATTGCTGACCTTGGGAACTTTGTCCCTTGTACAGAGATGCATAGGGCGAGTGGTTGGAGACAGCCTCCCAGAAGTGATGGTAACAACTGAGCATGCTCTGCTCTGAGGCGCACAGTAACAAAGCTGGAAGGTCGATCGGCTGCCTCACCTTAGAAGTGCAATGAAGGAGCCCCTTAGAAGGGACGTGCTCTGCCCGAGGTCACAGAGCTGTTCAGCATTTGAGTCTGAACTGAAGTCCAGGTCCTCTGCCACCACCTGGGATTCTTCTGTCACAGTTCAGAGGACCCGAGAATCTCAGCACACTTCCTCTGTTGAGTTCTGAATACTTTCTCTGGGTGACTTGGGGAGTAGTCCCAGATCCCCATTTGGCCATGTTTCCTTTGGCACTGCCACATGGTGTTAGGCTTGGACTGCTCTCCTCTAGGCAGTTCGCTAAACTCCTAAGAGCTAGATCACTGCTAGGGAGCCCTGGGCACTTTCCGAGACAGCCTGATCAAGTCCCTCCCCACCATTGGCTCCTTGCTGCTTTCTTTGCCCCACCCTGACCAAGTACTCTGCTGTTCAGATGGAAAAATCCACCACAGAGCAGATAGCTTTTATCCTTTTTTTCAGGGGAATCTGTCCATGCAACATGAGGTGAAAATTAAAACAAAGCAGGGCGTAGGTCTAAGCAGAATAGCACCCTTGGGCTTAAGAGTGACTTTGACCTATTCCTCCCAGACTAGAATGATTATCCAGCTGCCAGAGGATTCTTAGAGGAATCACTTTATTCAGCGGTGTCACTGGCAAGGCAGGATTAACCCTAAGACCAGCTTTATCTGAACATTCTGAAAGCAAACCTGATTGTGCAGGCAGGGCCAGCCCACATGGAAGCCCAGAACAGCGATCATGGGACCTTCCACTCTTTTTATTTTCTTGTTCTTGCCACAACCTGTCATGAGACCGAGAAAACTTGTTTTGAAAATGCTTGACAGCCAAAACAACCTGTTCTCAGCCTAGACGAGAGGTTTGTCCTCTCTGACCATTTATGTGCTGTTAGATGTTTGACTAGCTGCTGACTGGAAAATATGAATTTTCTGTTTTCTTCTCATATTGTTCACAGACAAGTGCCAGTAGCTTTCCAGTTCCTGTTTCCCTTTATTTCTAGCCCTCCATCAGAGACACTTAAGACTGTGCCTGAGTCTAACTGATGAACGAACATGAGCAACATCCACTCAGGAGGATATATCTGATGGTTACGTCTGGAAGCCGAGCTTGATATGTAGGTGGTTTCTCAATCCCATTAGATATGAGCCTGTAGATTTTAACCTGTGATTTTCTTTTTTTATAAAAAGAATTATTTTATTTTTTATTATTATATTTTTTTTAATTAGACCAGAGAGAGACAGAGAGAGAAAGAAAGTGAGAAAACAAGCCACCAGGTCTGGGACTCGAACTGTGGTCAGCCATATGGGAGTCTATAGCTCCTTAGCCACCGTGCCACCTGCTGGGCCTCACCTGTGATTTTTCAACTTGCTTTTTGGCCTCTCAGAGGAGGTTAATTGTGTTAGACTCTCCAGTTATCCACCTGGCCATTTTGGCCTCTGCATTGGTGACTCTCAGGCCTACAGCAGTATCTGTTCCTGCCACTGAGCCATACAAGTCAGGTTTGGTCTTGAGGACAACCAAATGGCCCTATGACTGCGAGGAATCACCTCAACTTTTCTCTTCGGCACAACTGCCCAAGAACAAAGGCTTATTTGTATAAATAAAGTTTTATTAGAACACAGCCACACCCACTTATTTCCATGCAGTGACTGCTTAGCTCTACCAGGGCAGAGGCGAATGGTCAAACAGAATACATGATCTACAAAGCTGAAAAAAATATTATCATCTGACCCTTTACAGGAAACGTTAGCTGACCCCCTGGACTACGTGATCTCTAGGGTATGCAGTCCAGTGACCTGTGGCTTTTGAACTTGGGGCAGTTCTTTTACAGGAAGAGCTCCTGAACTAACTAATAAGGGGCCAACTAGAAAGAGCTTATTTTTGGACCAGCAGGTGGAATGGTGATTAAGGGCACTGGACTCCCACATGGCCAACCACCATTCAAGTCCTGGACCTGGTGGCTTGCTTTCTCTCTTTCTCTGTCTCTCTCTTACTCTGTCCATGCCTGGTCAAATTAAAGCAAATAAATAAATAAAGTTAATTTCTTTTTTTAAAAAAGAAGGGCTTCTTTCTGCCCTATACTAGTTAGCAATACAAAGCATACTTTGAGAGGTGCTCAGCTCTACAAAGGCCAGAGTTAGAGTGTATTCTGTTAACGGCTGCATTGGTTGGTTGGTCTGATGGCTCTGGCATCCCTGGTGTCCTCTAGTTTTGGAAAAAAGAAACTCCAGCTGTGTGGGTCTGACTGAATCCAGTGACATGGTTCAAAGCTGGACACCCGTTTATACCCACATGGAAAAGAATGCTGATTCATCTGTTTGATAAACAGGGCAGAAACGGAAGCCACATGCTACCCTTAAGAAGCTGTATGACTGCCCAAACCTTCCCCCACTGCAGGTCTCTGCCTTTGTTTACTAGACTGAGCAATGGGATAGGGAAGGAATAGCTGAAAGTAGTGAGATCATTTGGTGGGATATGGTAAGAAAAACAGGAATGGGTTCTGCAAGTGCCTGTTAAAATGCAGGTGGTGATACAGTAGAGGTACAGCTGGACTCACATGGAAAGGTCCTGAGTTCACATCCTAGGGCCTCCTTGTACATGCCAGGCATGTGCCCATGATCTGGGCTAGCTGAACCTGGGGGTGGACTGCAACATAGAGACACTGTTGAGGGTGTGTGTCTCTAGGTCTCTCTCTCTCTCTTTTTTCTCTCTCAGAAGAAAAAAAAATAACAAAAAACTTTTAAAAACCATTTATACCAGGAAGGAGCTAATCTTTCTTACCTTCTTTGCTAAAGCCAGTCTAGACAAGGTTTTAACTTATAGGATTTGCATCCCAGGGAAGTTCCCATACCTATGTCCCTGCAACAGATACATAATAGGGAACCCCAAACACAGCATTGGACTGGCCTCTCATCATTGGCCTCTAAAGAATCCTGTGCAAACTAGAAAAGGTGTCTCCTTTGGACTGGTGCAGAATTTGATTCAAAGCTTGAGTTAAAGACAAAGCCCTCTCTTTCTTTAAGGCGTATATCCCTGGGTGAGCACACAGCTTAGCAGGCAGAACACAGGCTAGATTTCCGCCTCCACTCACTCCCTTGTCCTGACACCTTTGTGCAAGACAGAACTGTGTTCACAAATGCTGCAGCCCCTCCTGATACCTCATGTGTTAGCGGACTGTGGAATCCTCTCACAGGGGCCTTGCTGGCCAACAACAGGTTAACTCTGCTTGCTCTCAGTCTTTGAGACCACAGCAGACTGGGCTGGCACCTGGCATATCCTTTCATACTTGTCCCTGCAGTACCAGGGTGGCTCTGGGTCTCAGGATGGAGGACAGATGACCCATGGCTGGGAGCAGAGGCCTGGTACTCCTGCTACAGGCACCATAGACCCTGATCTAGTTCAAGTGCTTATTTTGGAGAGCCCAAGCCCTGGTTCCTCCTTGCCAACTTCTGACCTAAAACTGGCTCAGCTTAAGGAATGCACATGATTTTCCACATAGTTATATCTCTGAGGCAATGCACTAGCAGCACAAAGACATGTGCTCAGCGGTCCAGAATAGACAGGCGGGGGGGGGGGGGGGCGCCACACCGCCCGACGTG